ACATTGTAACAGGCAAACCAGCAACCAGTATGGGGCACTGGGAAATGGGAAGTGAACCGTGCAGGACAGAGGATATTCCATTGCTCTCCCATGTTGAGGGAAAACCAATCAATTGGGGTTACTCCCAGTTGCCCCTGCATGCCCCACACAGCATTGTTATTCCACAGGAGTAACATTACATCCATTCACATAGATTGCTCTTCACTTGTTTGTCCTGAACATTAATCTCTTTCACATCTAAATTCAAGTTTCATGAGATACTATGACTTTCCCTTGCCCACCATGGATCAGCAGGGACCCTTAAGCCGCTTCCAGCCCCCTGCAGATTTGTACCAGCACAAACTACAGAACTGACAGCTGTCAGTTGATAAATTGGGTCTCTCAGGACATGCAGACATCTTTCTTTTTATTACACACTGGGGAGGGAGCAGGGAATAAGCAGATGGGATCAAAGTGCCCTCCCTAAAAGAGAAAGTGCCATTTCCTTTATCTTAATCACTGTATCAGCAAGTTTCTTCAACTAAATCCCTCGCTCTTCGTTCCAGCTATGCCCAGCAGAGAGAGAGCACCTGGCAGGGTGCTTTTGCTGATGATTGCCAGCTCCAGAAAGCACAGATATATTTATTGAGGGTACTCAGATATTTCCTGGTTTACAAAAGTTGTTGTCATCCTGGTTGGTGTTCCAACGATGTGTGAGACAGCTCTGGGCAACCATAACTCTGAGCAATTGGAGATTTATTTTTCATGAGTTCCAGTGTTTTTCTGACACATTTAACAAAACAGCCATGAACCACTCAGAGGAGCTCTGAGTTTGTCATGCTGGTAGACCTAGGCCTAAAACAAGCAGTGAAGTAGTTGTCATAAGTTTATACAGGAACTGTCTGAGCACTGACTTTATTGAGCAGATAAATACACTTATACATAAACAAATGTAGTCTGCTGCTGCAGATATCCAACAAACTAATTGAATAGGTGGGATGGGGAGGCAGACTGGGATGAGGTGACATGGGAAGAGGGACAACAAATTAAATGGGTCAACTTTTTATTATGGTCAAGACTTAAAATACCTCAATGATATGCTTATGTGGAAAAAATACGTTGACTTTTATGTTACAGATAGTTCAACATGAAGAAGTACAATCTTACTACATTTCTTACACAAATTTCTTTCTTCACTTATGTAGTTTTGCATGCAGAAGAACTGTAAAAATGATAAACAGTATAAACACCAAAACAAAAAATGGTTGAGGCAAAAAAGTGACAACTTTTTCTGTCACAGTTAAACACTGTTATCAAATGGAAGATAAGAAATAACTGATACCAGTATGTAAGTAATCGAAACTATTTTTACACAGAGGCCTGCCAGACTGTCTTCTGCATGTATATATAGAGCTGCAGTAGTATTAGTAGTGTTACCTCGCTAGCAGTGTTACCTAATCCAACATAAGCATTTGGAAGACATAAGAATGAGGAGTTTTTAGTCTCTCTGTTAAATCCTGATTTCACAAGAATTAAGGTTTTACATGACACCTGAGTGAATTCCCTGAACCCTAGGATGGTTCAGAATATCAAATCTTGGCCTGTCCTGTGGGTTTTTAATTCAAAAATGTAGAGAACTCCAAGTTCTGTTTCCAGGATTTGAAAGCTAATTTCTTAATCCATCCTCAGCCCTCCCTCTGCATTGCCTCATAGCTGCAATTTGCTCTCTCTTTTTTTCTATTCTTTAAACCACAAGAAATACTCACCCCTCTCTCTTAAAACATGAATAATTAAGTAGCACCATAAAATTAAGGTCTTTAATTAATATTAAATACGAAAATACAAAGAAATATAAGGTTAAAAAATCTGGGGTTTTATGAAATTTTGTTTAAAATGGTGACTAAACTTTAGATCTCTGTAACTATCTGTCAAGAGGAGTCAACTAGAATCCTACATGTGAAGCCATAACACATTTTTCATAACCTTGAGTTCATTTTTACCTTCCTAATTTCAATTAGTTCTGTTATACATTAGACCCCTTCTGGCACCTTGTTAACATCTGGATGCCCTTGTTAAATATTTTGCCCCAAACTCTGTACATTCATTTGTACTGAGTGATTACTTCCCTGGAGAAGTTCCTACTCAGGTGAATTTTTATTGTTTCTGTCATTCCTTTTTCATGACAAGGAACATTCTATTTAATTCTTACACAAATATAAGAGCAGTATTAATTGCCATTGAACTTCTGCTAGTAATACCTAAAAAACACAAGATGTCAAAGAAACAAAAGCTACAGCTTTCTTTGTTAAAGAAGATAACAACACATTCCTATCCTGCTTCCTCTCTACTCAAACTTGAATTCATATTCTGTGATCTATCTTACCACTTCACATTATGGAGAACTGACTCTTCCTCTGGCTCGCTTAAGATCTCTATTCCAGTATAAACTAAATTTTGCTCCCTTTTGCAATCAAAAACCATTTTCAAATCCAACTCTGAGTTGTATGAGCACTGTCATAGTTGAAAATATGAAAATTATTTTGCATGTGGGGGCAGAAAAATATGCAAACAATGTGATAAATGAAATTTAATCAAGCTACTGTTTTTCCTTAGAAAATATAACTTGAATTATTCACATCTACTAGCATTAGAGACATTACTTTTTTGGGAGTCAAGGCTGGGGTATGCCAGCTGTTTTCCTGATTCTTTAAATGCGCCAAGCTCTAACATATTTTAAGAAGTCAGTTGTAAGAGAAACATCCTCAGTGACTGCACTTTCTTAGATTTCACAATAAAATGCTATTGGAGCAAGTTGCAAATAGAGACATTCAGCAAAACTGGAGATACAAATTCGGTTTGTTCTCAAAAAATTGTCTGTATTCTTGGTCATACAGGATTGTGGAAGCCACTGTGTAAATCAATTAGTTGATTAAGTAACAGAGATTTCCAGGAAAGAAAACTAGTTTCCAACCAGTGCTGCTGTTTATGCTTCATGCAATGTACCTGAAATATTTAAACAGATGAAAAGGAAAGTGAGAAAGGCAACCCAAACATCTGAACGTGAGTGCTGGGAAAAGCACTGTGGCAAACATGTAACTTCAACTGGTCAGAGCTGATATTAGGTCTCTGGAAAAAGTTAAATTTAGAAAAGAAAGAAAGAAAGTGTATTTTTTAAAAATGCAAAAGCTTGTCCAAATGTTTTTAAACCATTTTTTTCAGGGTACCAAATAATGCTTAAACATCCACTGAAGTCAAACTTCCACTGAACTAAATCAGTGCAGTATGTTTGTGGATACAAAATGATCCTGCTAAACTGAGCTAAACTCACTGTTACTTGTGACATCTGTGGCGCATCTGTAACACTAAGGAATAGTAGCTACGTTCACCAGAGAGGCAGGCGAGCTCTTATGGGCCAGTTGGCCATTTCCCAAACTTTTGGGATGTTTGTAGTTCTTTGTCATAACAGCATTCCCTCCCTTTCTGTTCCTCTTAACAAGACAGGAAAGTTGCCCTTTATCATTATTGGAAAAATGATGTTGATTCTGAGAAAATGTTACTGTTTCTAGAACAGTACATTGTCTTGTCTTCTCTTTCATCTCTGTCAGATTATACTTACACAGATTCTTTTATTAAATCCCTTCATAATATGGTTTACCCTATTTAGAGTTCCTGTAGTAACTATATGCATGTTACATCATTGGAGAGGGAGGAAGTATCTCTTTGCTCTGCACATTGTAATGCAATGGCTCTCTTTCCTTTGTAAATTGTGGGAGGCAATGCAAAATAGTTTGACAGTAGCTGAACTACCTTGTGTGATAGACTGATGAAAACATTTGACTCAAGTTCCTGCCAATTAAACCTCCAAATGTTGACTGTAAGCTGCAAGAAATATTTTCTTATACCTATTCTGAATATCAGTAGTGAAATAAGCAACTCTAGTCTAAACTAAAGTTTAGAATTTTGGGAAAAAAAAATTCTTTTTTGTTTTGACAGAATAAAGTTAGCAGATTTTTTTGAAGCGGCTTATTAATAAACTGCATTTTTGTCAAAGTAGGATTGAGCTGTACCATAACAATACCCCATCATTAAATTATCTGCTCATACCAACTGAAAAGTTTTCACTGTAGTCAAATTTGGCATGCATCCATTCGACTCACTTTCCATCTTATTTATACACAGTTGTAGATTGGATTTTTCTGGGTAGAAAAGAAACAAGAGACATGAACAGGGAATCAACTAACTTTCCAGTCTCCCTTTTTAATTACATTTGTAGGGAAGATAAATCATCTGTGGATTCAAACGAATGTACAAGTATAATTTCACTCCTGGTATTCAATTGCACTTCAAAAAAATAATAAAATGCTTCTGAGAAATGTTCAAAACTCGTGTGCATCACAGTGGCTATATATGGTACATGAGAACAATAACACTGAAACATCACAAAGCACAGCATAGGCTAGACATCACTTGAGTTTAATGAGGCAGTAGTCATAATGACAGACAAAACACAGCTTACTGAAATTATCCATTCTGAAAGAGTATTGATGTCATAATGAGTCTCTGAGCTGCAGCTAACTGCTTGAGATGACAGAGCATGCTCCACTGGTTGATTCTAAAAATGGTAGAAAAAGGCTAAAGCCACTTTATACTGTCAAACATATACCAATGGCAAAAGAGAATTACTTCTGGACATAGGTACCCCCATAACTCTCAGATGGTACAGTGCTTCATTTGTAGCAAAAACAAGACTGAGGCATTGAAAAGTTACAGACCCAGAACTAAAGACTACTCCTGTAAGGAAGCTGATTCACCTAAATGAAGACTGTTGGTGTTGAGACCAGGAACTCTATCAGGATATTACTAGAAAAATATATTTAAATTACTTCACAATAATGAATTGAGTGAGAATCCTAGTCCAAACAGGACTAAGATTTCCTTTCATAAGGAGTAATAATATTGCATCACTAACGATGATTTTTGTATTCAAAATTATTTCATGCCAGCACAAAATCTTCGCAGGGTGTGAAATTTTACAAGTATCCATTTTATTGCCTTATCCAGACTTTGTGGGCTGTGCATATAAAGAAGATTGTCAATCAATTTGAATGAGCTATCGAAGCAACACTATGCCACTTTTGCTACGTATTCCACTCCCTTTTGTTGAATGACCACTAGTAATTAATTACAGCCTACAGTTATAAATCTGCTTTTCCCTCTACTGTGATCTTTTAGCATGAGCTCATGTTTTGACATGGAATAAGCAGTTTAAATATCAATCTAGAGGAATCCTAAAAAGGCAAAGCGGAGTCACTCCCAGCAGACTGTCACACCACTGGAGCCCCAGTGATTACACAGATCACTGTGGATCCATCTGATATGAATTGTCCTTTCTCTGTTCAGGTGAGAAGATGAGGGAACTCCTTGCTCCTACAGTCAGTCTTACAGCTTGTATCAGGCAGGAGCCCTGCTGGCTGGTCATCTAATGGGCACAGAAATGCTTCCAAGGCCATACGATGGCTGGGAGAGGATTTAGTATCACTTCTCCCAGTCGCGTTGTCGTGAGCCCTCTTCCACACTACTAGGAGGGAACTATCACCCCTTGAATCTGGCCAACGGTCAGATGCTACATAATTGAATAAGAGAATAAACATGGATACCTGATGATTTGGGGTGGTTAGGCAGAAGGGGTCAAGGGAGTAGATGCTATACAAATCTTACAGTTTTAAGTATTAAGACAAATCTTGAAAATTTCCATTTTCGTAATAGTATGAAGTCTGTTCTTCCGTGTCTTGAGTTACTTGCTTTTGCTTCCTCCATTCCCTTCTCTGTACTTCACTATTTTGACTGGTAGCACCGTACATTTTCTTTGGACTTACAAAAGTTTCACTGTTCATCTCCGTTTCTTCAGCCAGTTCATCCTGATCAATTATGCCACATTTCTCTTCATTGAGGTTCTCAGGGTCAGCCCATTCCTGCTTCTCCCCAGAAGCAAAGATGGCATAGAATATCACACCACTGTAATGCACCAGGGCTGCGATCAGAAAGACGTTCTGCCATTCTTCACGGGTCTGAAAGAATGGTGCAGGTCTCATTAGGTTTTCAGTAAGAAGAAATATTACTCTCTGAATTACACCATGAATTAGCATGTATTGAACAAAGTGATCACTGTTTGATTCCTGATGTTGCAGATAAAATAATATGTAAGAATCACTGTAAAGAATTTTTTTTTCTTCCCATAACAACATCTAATATAATAAAATTTGGGTTTCTTTGGGTTTTCTCTCATGTTGAAGTTTCTCTCTTGCATGTAAAATATTCATGGAGTTAGAAATGCAGGGATTTCTCTAACAACTAAGTTAATCTTATTGTAGATCAATGATTGCTTAGGAACCCTACCAGGGATGCACAGTAGAGGAGTTTCCCAAGTGTATAATAGCTAAGAATCAAGTCACCATGGTATTATAAAAGTGAATGTTTAAGACAGACAGCAAAAGAAAACAGCTACAGTGATCAGTGATAAAATGGAATACCCAGAAGTCTTTGAAATGTCTTAACTTTTGTTGCACTACCCAATGCTTCTCCTAGAAAACATGGAGAAATGTTACCTTGTGTTTTGTCATTGCACCAACAATGAGTGGGCACACCATTCCTGACAGTGTCCCCACGCCGTTGGAGATCCCCATCAGAATGCTGGCATAACGTGGGGCTATGTCCAAGTGATTCACGTTGAATCCTACAAAGAATGAGAGGCAATGGTCAACTATGCAGCATTGCTCTACCAGGCCAACAGGGCTTTCAACATCCATTCTGGCTGAAGGAGCCTGAAAAAGGTAGGAACCCCTCTACCGTATGTATTAGAAAGAAGAGTAGTATTTTCTTGGTGATAAAGATGGAAGACATTGCAACTCCATTCTTTTTCAAAGCTCCCTATTTGCCCCAGCTCTGGAGATCATGTTGTATTAAAGTTTTAAGTGTCTGTACTTCACATCTTCTCATCCTGAAACAGTGCTCTCAGCAAATATTTCTAATTAAGGAATAAATACCTCATAGTAGTCAAATATCTTCTACCTTTTTAATTAGGTAGTAGCAGTTTAACAACATGATAAAAAAGTAGAATATAGACCATTAGGAAAAATAATTAGCCTTACTGTAGTGTGTCTTCTGGGTATGTATTTTATTAAGAAATAAAAACAAATACTAAAAATCAAATACTAAATACTCAGAGAATTATCATGCCTTAGATAACGAAAATTAGTCATATGAACTAAGGTTGGTCACAAGAAATAATGATGAGTTCCAAGTGCATGGTATTAAATATAGTAAGAAATGAACTACTGGGAAAATCCAGCAATAAAAATTGATTAGTAGAAATGACCTGCTATGCAATGATCTCATAACTGAGTTACAAAACCACTTCCCATATGCATAATCCTGAAATAACTGAAGACCAGCAGTCATTTTTCTGGTCAGTTTGGTTCAATAGATCCATCTTCTTGGCAGTCTTCTTAGAAGACGTTGTTTTTCCATTTTCACAACAGAACATGCTTTTTTTTTAGGAATGATGATACTGATGGTGTTACAAAGCAGCCTGAGACTGGTGAGACCCAAGAAAGTGTTAGAAACAGCTGTTCTAGAGAAGAGCTGGTTGTAGGACACAAAAAAGAGACAGCTGACCTAGAAAGCAGAAGCAAACCACTAGGGCTTGGAGCAGGATTGCAACTGATAGCCCCTGCACAGCTATTCACTGCAGAGTAATTCTCTCTCTCTCTGTTTCTCCTTTTAGGGATACAGTTTAAACAAGAAAATGGCAACTGACACTCTAAAATTATAGTAGAAAATAACAGCAGAACGCTGATGTAAACTGGAATCAATAAAAAGCAGCCTTGCTTCAAAAGCTTTATTTTCTGTGTGCAACATGTTTTATAGATTATAAATTAATTATTTCTGACAAGGAAAAAAATAGGGAACAACCCATAAGTAGCCACATTAAGTGCAAACATAATAATAGAAATCATGACAGTAAGAACAGTGAGGATAATAACATCACTTTTATCAGGAACAGTAAAACCAAGACTAAGATTAATTCTTACCTGAAATGGCAAAGCCACTGAAGCCTACTGCTAACACCAGAAAGGAAATGGCCACTCCTTTTGTATGAGAGTAACCAACCACCAAAAGCAAGGTTGCTTCCATCCCAAAGCCTTGAAATGAAACACATGAAAATGAATTACATTTAAATTACTATTGGTCATGGAGATACTAATAAGAACTATCCAGAATAGAGGCTTAAAATGAGACAAAATTCTTTTGTATCTTATAGCTATTCTTAAACATACTTGGGAACTTTCTGGATTTGCAGAAATATTTGCATATTTATTGTCTGAAGATATACTTTTTTTTACTCCTCATTCATTGCTGTGTAAATGACCCAAGCAATTGGTGAAGTTAATTCACTGAACAGTATAGGAAAACAATGAGAAAGTGACTCTGTGCAAAGGGCAGAAAAATTCATAAACAAAAAAACATTATAGGGAAAGGAGAAAAACACTTGCCTTCAATATCTCATGGTTGTAGTGATGCAAGATGTTCTTGGTAAATGGAACAAAAGAGTGCTTTACATGCAAGTGTGCTACCGACACCACAGGATGTTCCTGGCATCACAGGACACTTCCAGTCTTTGTCATTACTGTGAATTAACATTTTCTAATATGCAACAGTACAATCCTTTGGTTTGTTTTTTCAATGACACTATTAATATGCCCTGAAAATTCAATGAATTTGAGCATCTTTTGTGAAGATGCATAGCAAGTTGCATGGTGTCTCTGACTGCAGCCATCTCTGTTTCTAGCAGCCCCTACCATCTATAAATAACGTAAGCCAGCAATTGGCAGTGGATAACTAACTGTACCACAGGCTATCTGGCTTGAAATATTTTCTTTAATTAAGTATCAACCTTACAGGTTGATGTCACTGATTTTACAGTTCAGTGACTGAATCAGAAACAAATTATTTTGTGCTGAGTAAAAATGAGCCTATCCATCCTTCAACTTTTTTTTCTCCTAAGCCTTCCAGCTTAAACTTGCCAGTGAGTTCTGCTGAAAGTATCAAATGGGAACATTGCCAGTTATTACAAGACTATATCCACTGGGAAAGCGTCTCTTCAACACCATGGTACAGGGTTAACTTTGTATGAGTTTGCAGTATGAGGCCTATTTGACCATACTACTCTATTGCCCTTTCAATTATTAACTAGACTTCTTGCCTCCTACCTTTTTAAAATCATGTTCATATGAGTAAGGATTTATGCCATGAGACATTAGCTCTCCATTTAATGCTTCAGATTAACCAGCTGTAAATGCAGCCTTGAATAAATCATCTCAATACAACTCAACATGAACTAAACTATTATACTTGCAGCATACAATTGCAGCATACAATTGAAATATCGTATTTTCAGAGCCCAATAGTACCTCCACAGTTCATGACCTTCCTTACAGTGGTGGTGGTTAAGATCTTCCTGCTCCGTAGGAAGTCAGCTAGCTGCCCTCCGATAGGTACGATGATTGTCATGACCATGTGAGGAACTGCTGACAAAAGGCCAACCTGCAATTAGACAAATGACTGCTTACCACTCACATTCTCCTTCAAGGTTTAGTGGGAAGAGAACAGGAACCATAACTTTCCTTCACCTCTTTCCACCTTACCACCGTTAGATACCTTTTTATCCTAGATTCTTGTGTGGAAGGTTTGCAGACAGGTCCAGTAGGAACTGCAGCTAAGACCTATGTGATCTTAAGCTACCTTTATCCCATCTTTAGAGAATTCTAGGAGCCCGAGAGACTCCAGCAAACTTTTGTCCAGGTAATAGCAGCTTTTCTCCCAGGCCTTCTCATTAATAGCAGTATATGAGCCACAGCATTGTTGACCAGAGCCTACGGCACTAGCGAAGTGGGAAGAGCCTGGGCATCTTCCTTCATTTTTTGGGGGCTAACCTGGTGGTTTTCCTACCTTCCTCCCTCCCTGAAGGAGTGAAGGGCAGGTAGGGTTTTTCTCTGTTCCTATTTATTTCCTGACAGTAGAAAGAGTGCTGCATATTTGTATGTATTCAAGAGGCAAGGGGAAGAGGCATGAGCTATAATAGAGAGTAAAAAGAGAATTTGATCTAAAAAGTCTAATTCTATTGCTCTGATGGAGTTTTTCCTCTCTCCAATAGCCAATGAAGGGGCACAAGAAAACTGCTCTAATTTATCTGATTAGAGAAGAAGCTGAAGGTTGGGTAATGGCCAAGGAGGAGAAACCAGAGCACAGGTGAGAATCTCCCCTTAGAAACATCATCAATATACCTAGTCTTCCATGGTTACTCTAAAGAGTTGCTTAGAAGACTGTTTATATCAAATTCTATTGTAGACATCACAAAGCCCTGTCTTAGCTGTTCTGATATCGGAGTGTTCTATCCTGGTTTTCAACTGCTTTTATGTATTTTTGTTATTCAGGTTCTCAAGGAGCTCCTTTCTGAATAACAGGTCTATCCCTGTCACCTGCCACTGTGTACAGGAAGGAAATGCCTGCACATTGTATATGGACTGAAGACAGTGCAGCATACAACCTGACATTATCATATAATTTTATAAAATATTTAATAAACATATGTGTAAAGGTAGGCATGCATTTTTATTCTTGTGGGATTACCGCCTACAAACTGATGTTCATCTGTAGATTTCCATAGAATCCCAGAATCACAGAGTGTTTGAGGTTGTTTCCTGATGTTCAGAGGGAAACTCCCATGTTTCAATTTTTGCCCATTGTCTCTTGACCTATGACTAGGCACTAAACTAGAGCCTGGTTTCGTCTTCTTTACACTGTCCCTTCAGATATTTTCACATATTGATGAGAATCCTGCTGAGCCTTTTCTTCTCCAGGCTAAATAGTCCCAGCTCTCTCAGACTTTCTTCATAGAAGAAATGTTCCCATTCCTTAATCATCTTCATGGCCTTTCACTGAATTTTCTCCAGTATGTCCATGGTTCTCTTGTACTGGGGAGGTCAGAACTGGACACAGTACTTCAGGTGTGGCCTCGCCAGTGCTGTGTAGAGGGTAAAGGTTACCTCCCTTTTCCTGCTGACCTTTTCATAACGCATTCCAGGATAGCATTGGTCTTTACTGGGAGAGAACACTGCTGGCTCATATCCAACCTGGTGTCCAGCAGGACCTCCAGGTCCTTTTGTGCTAAGTTGCTTTCCAGTTGGGCAGATCCCAGCATGGAATTGTTTCTCCTCAGATGCAGGATTTTGCGCTTTCCCTTATTACGCTTCGTGAGGTTCCTGTCAGCCCATTTCCCCAGTCTGCCAAGGTTCCTCTGTATGGCAGCACAACCCTGTAGCCTATCAGACACTCCTTCTAGTTTTGTGCCATCTGCAGACTTGCTGACGGCACACTCTTCCCCATCATCCAGATCATTAATGAAGATGTCAAACAGGATCAGACTCAGTATGTCCCTCGGGCTACTGAGTTTTAGTGATCAGCATGTCATCTTCTAGAAGCCTTTCCTTGAAGCAGTAATTTAGTGAGAAGTTTGAGTTTACTTCCGAGAGTGCACAACCTCATTACATTGACAGTCAGTCAGTTTTATGTTGGTTTTAAATTAGTGAGGTACAGAGGGGTGCAACTCTAGCATTAATGAAAAGCAGCTCAGAATAAATAAATCTAATTTTTCTTATATTCCTGATACCCATCTGTATGTTGTACTTGGCCATTCAGAGTGCCACTGCTACTATGTCATAACTTGGATACACTGAGCTCTCCAGAGCACATAAATAATGATGATCTTTGCTATCATTATCAGTCATACAGTTGCTTGAAAATAATTATCACATAGCGAGTAGGTTTGTTAAAGTAATATTTTTTTAAAAGGGAAAACCTCTCTGAAACAATTATTCTGAATTCCTCATTCATGCTCTGAAGAGAGACTGTGACAATCCTGATTTTAATGAAGTGGTGGTGGCAAAAAATGCTGGGAATAATCTACTGGAATTATCTGATTTCCCCTCAAACAATCTGCATAGAATCATAGAAACATTATGGTTGGAAAAGACAATCGAGTCCAGCTTTTGACCAAACATCACCATGCCAACCAAACCATAGTTCTACATTTTAAGTGCCATGTCCATTCATGTCTTGAACACTTCCTGGGGTGATGATTCCACCTCCTACCTGGGCAGCTCATTCCAATGCTTAACCACCCTTTCAGTGAAGAATTCTTCCTGATTTTCAACCTGAGCCTCCCCTGGTGCATCTCCTAGGGTGAGGTCTGAAGGTCACCGCTTCATCCCACACATTTACCTTGCTTATTGCAAATCCAAACACTTCTTCAAAGTAAGCAGGCTGACTTATAAGGAGCAAATAGAAGGTCCAGCTTCTGCAGAAGTTTGCCACAATGATTGCGTAAACTGGCATTGAAGTGAAAAATCTCTTCCAGGGAGTACTAAATTTCTAGGGAAAAAAAAACCAAAAAAACCCACAAAAATTGAGTAGATAGAGGAAGAATAAAGGACCTATGTTTTTTTATCAAACCTATCCAGTACGTTGTATGCAACTTACACTGCAAATCACTTAGAATGCAAGTGAAGTTTACCTCTTAAATTAATAGCAAAAAAAACAGGTAGAGAAATTTTCTTAGAAGAGTTAAGATTTTTAAGATGAATCCTGCACCACTATTGCCCTGCTTACTGAAATTACATGAGGTCTCTGGAATCCTGCTATTGGGATAACAGGATCAGTAATAGAATCAAAGAAAACTAGAGAAAATGTTGTGTCGTTCCCCAGCTTTTGGCATGATGCAGTTTGAGACATTCTTCTGAAAGGAGTGTGAAAAAAGCGTTATCCATGCTAAGAGACATGCAGTGGCACAGCAACAAGCAGCTACCTGCTTCAACTTAATTAATTTAGTTCAGAAAAAAAAGGCTTGTGGTAGACAATTTAATTTCTGTAACTTGCTTTTGGCATTTGCAGTTTCTATTTTTGCTCCAGTACTCCATACATGAGGAATAAAACACACTTCAGAGAACTATTCATTTGTAATAGAATTCAAATCAGAAGGTGAAATATGTAGCTATGGCAACATATATTGACATTCTGCTTTTTTTAAAAAAACCCTGTATTCTACAGGCAGCCATATGCCTGCACTTGTATGCGAACACATGAAGGTGGTACTAGTGTCCTTTGCTTTAAAACCACCATACAGCAAGGAAAATCCATGATCTGAAAAAAGGACGTGTGTCTCCAACCAAGACCTGATTGACTTCAGCCAAATCTCAGGAGCATGCTCAAAAGCAGAGCCGGGTATTTTACTTTGGAGTTACTTTGTTCCAGAATGTTCAAGACTAAAAGCCAAGAAAGAACAGTTTATCAAGAAACACCATTAGTTTTCACTACTAGCAAAAATAAGTTACCTAAGAGAATGGAAACAAGTTTGATGGAAAAATAGGTTTTAGCTCAAAGTTTCCAGGATCTTCCAGGATCTTCTCAGAGAGCGGATAAGGAGCCTTAAGGAAGGACCTGAGCTGGTGTGAGAGTGAGCAGGGCAGAAAACCTGTCCTTAAACTTTTAGATTTTCAGTCATCCTTAAGAGGAGTTCAAAAGGCAGATGGATAAATTAACATCAACAACCAGGTTTCTTATTTAGTTAAATCCATTAATGTTTTTTAGAACAAGCATGACAGTTACTCAAGAGCAGGAGACCAGAATGTGTGCTTCTTCCCTCCCTAAATCAGGGAAGCTCTATGAGCCATGGGCTGAAACAGCATTATGTGTTTTCCTGTTGCTGTGCTCATCCTCTCCAGCAGCATGAACCTGATCCTCTAATGTTCATAAAAGGAAAAGCCCATAAACATCAACAGAAACTAGTTCTGCCACTCTTACTCAGCTAAAAGTATCCATCCAGTCTTATGCTCATCTTGTGCAAAGTGCTCACAAATTATAATAAGAAAAGCCCTTTTTTACTTACACTTGCATTAGCCAGGCTAGCTCCTTCTCCTATACTTGTTTCTATATATATTCTTTCTTCGTTGCTTATTGTTGGATGTGCAGCAGGACTCTCATAGGCATGAAGCAACCAGAACATGTACCAAACAATCCCAAACATTCCTGCAGAGGCCAGAATAGCAAAGCTTGATTTTAAAAGCCAATAAAGCTACCCTTCAGTATCTACAAGTCTTGAAGTTTGTTCCAAGCGCCAGTTAAACCAAACCTGCACAGAAATTATGCCCAGAGAAGTAACAAAGTACTTTCACTAACTCTATGTATATTGTAAGCCTGATTGCAAAGCATTTGAGCATTTTGTTGCTTGTATTACATGTTATGCATGGGGCAGAGAAAAGGCAGAAGGAAAGCTCTGTGTAGAACCAGGGGAAGGAAAAAAGCAGACAGGCCATAACCTGATCAAAATCTGCTTAAAGGGATTTCGCAATCAGATGGTGATGGCAAATCTTGTGGTGTGTCCTGTATCTCCAGAGAAAGCAGAGAAAACCTGTCTTAACTGGGTTGCTGATGTGCAAGGCTAGGTTGGAGACAGCTCTGCCGCATACTGGGTGGAAGGGGGGAAGAGGCACAACAGGTCAGCAGTAAGGCCATATCTGTGTAGTGGGAGACCACTTTGTAAAGGTGGTGTTGTTTTATTGAAGATGGGAAGCACAGGGAAGATTTCTTGGGGCAGAAGTTTTCAGAGACATTTGGCTCCTCATCAGCAGCGAAAGCTCTAGCATTCACTGTTAGTGTGCATCTGGGGCAGATACCACACAAGTGTTTGTGCTACAGAGGAGCCTTTGCAACTGCATCCAGCCCTGTCACTGGGTGACCGTGGGCTGTAGCCTGATCGTGACAATTTTACAACCTTTTGTAAAAGATGATTGCAAAATGAAAGCTCTTAGAATCTGCAATAAGTAGAGAGTAAATTGGAATACCCATTTGCAACCTTTTCATTCATCAAAACAACTCTGATCCATACTTGTTAGGCAGGTTTAAGTAAACAGCTGGCAGTACCAACCTAGTGGCAGAGGTCCTTCTTGTTAAGCAACTCACCATAAATATAGAAGACAGATGACCATCCTATATACTGTACCAGCACACCCGCCAGTGGCATGGCAACCACTGCACCTGCATAAGACCCTGGGGAGAAAATGGATTAGTAAAACATGTCAGTCATGATAGGTGTGCCCAGCTTTCAGAGCAGATGATCCAGACAGGTGCTCATGGGGGAAGAACCAGAGGGACATGTTTGGCTGACTTTTTATGAACATGGAGAATGGGATGGAAGCTCCAAAATTTTGCTTAGGGTGCTGGGAAGGACTGACTCTCGTTGGTGTGAGATCTCCAGTCTCATTTTGCAGTTAGAAGGGTTGTGCCCTGTAGGTAAATAGGATCTGAGCATCCAAGACTGATGACAAACCATCACAGAGGCATAAGCTGTATGTACGCACTCAAGTGGGAAATCCCACCTAACCCCATGGTATATGAGATGAGTTTTGGAGAAACTAATGACCCAAGTTTTGGAAGTCTTCCTTGGTGCCGAGGAATCCTGATGATTGCAGATATTCGGGGAGGTTCTTGTCATGGCTCTAGATCTATCGCCACACAGGGTCTAGCAGTGGAAAGAGTGTTCAAACAAAACCTGAGTCTGTGTAGCCATGTTTAGTTCATAACAGAGGCATAAACAAACAGTTCGAATAAACAGGCAAATGTTGACAGAAAAAGAAAGCATAAAAATGTGGTCTGTGCCAAGATTTCTGATTGGGAAATATATAATACTGGTGAAATATATTTCCAAGTGACTTGTAGAAAGAGATGAGTATTTAAGTGCAGTCTAGACATCAGGTTTCAGTGCAAGATGGTACCAGTGGTTTCATGAGTGAAGAGTGTTGCTTTGAATTATTCTAGGAAATGAGATACTTGTGGTTTTGAGAGTATTACATAGTTAATTAATAAACACTTGTTAATAATCTACTCATTAGCAAATACTCCTCTGCAGTGGTTCACAATGATCCTTCCCTCTCATCTCCATGTAATTCATTTTTCCTACAGCAATAGAAAAGCCCCAGGCCAGAATGTAGATAGAGACACCGGGAACCTGGTTAATATGGGATTAAATAATTTTTCCATTGTTACTATGCACCTTTCAAGTGCAAAACTCAGTGATCTGTAGCCACTAAAATGGGTGTTGAGCTGAAGGATGGATCTTTCTCTATCCAGTGCTAGGATTTCAAGGAGAGAGCATTGACGGTGGAGAGACTTTTCTTTTGATCTGTTCTTCTGCAGAAAATGGAAACACCTAAATAATCACTAAATCCTGAAGTAATTTGTAATAAAAATAAAATTCCCATAATATACAAACATAGGATTTTTCCTTTTGCTTCACTTCTCCTTTTCTCCTTTATCTTGTTTTTTAGTGCTGTATTTTCCCTAACCTTTCAACTCCAATGCTGATGGACAGAATTTTTTTCCTATGACTTTTACATTTTCTATTGAACATTTTCTCCTACAGACATTCATCTTCAGCTGTCCGCATTGGAAAGGGACTCAGAGAAAAGACCAAAGTATGTGTTTGATCATAACTCAAAAGAGAATGAAGCAAAACAGCTCCTGGCAAGAAGTTACATCATCTCCACTGCAATATATTGAGAAGCCAGCCTAAAGTTCTTTTAAGATAATATTTGAGTGTGTGTTTGTTTAGGAGCATCCATTCAATATGTATAATAAATGGAATGCCTAAGGATGGAGCAGATAAAAAAATACAGTGTAATTTCTTTCATGTGACACCTCTAGACCCATTTTAGTTTACTATGAGAGCCATTATGAGTGTTGGCTTCAAATGACAAAATGGTGACATATTAAACAACAAGGACTCTCAGGTTCCTGAGCTTAGAGTACAAGCCGATTGTAGCAAAGGGCAGAGGGTTTGCATTTCTCTTTCAACTAATGAAATTAATGAAATAAATCCAGTAGGAATGTGTACTTACGCAAACCACATAAGCTATCAACTTACCACAGAACGATGTGGTAGCCAACCTGCTCCTCTCCAGTGGCGGAGCCCATTTACTCCACATCCCATGGCAGGCTGGGTAGGTGACACCCTGGCAGACATTTCACACATCACATGATTTGTTTTCACTGCATTCCACTTAAAGTATTGCAAAATCACAGAATATCCTGAGTTGGAAGGGACCCACATGGATTATCAAGTCCAACTCTTTATCCTGCACAGGACCATCCCCAAGAGTCACACCATGTGCCTAAGGGTAAAGTAGTTGCTCATACTATCCATAATGTCTAGCTGTTTGCCATCATGGAATGATGTAGGAAGGGTTAGATAAGTCTGGAAGAGTTCAGTTGTTCGGGTATGAAGATGTCAAACTGATCTTGATTACTTTTTACTTCAATAGTAATACATTCTGAGGTAAAAATGCTGTTCAGTATATGCAGTGGATGGCACAGGTAAACTAAAATAGATCAAACTGCAGCACCAGAAACATAAATTTTTCTTTACTTGTAAGTAAACAAAAACATAAATCAGCATGATTAAAAAAATTATCATCTAAAAATGAGTAGCAAGTTAAACTCTAGATTGATCAGAAAGCTTGATCAAAAAGATCCTACAATTTTTTAGAACCAAATCTCCAAAAATGAACTATGTTTGAAAGGATCAAAATGATGAGTGCTCCTACCTCCACCAGACCTTGAAGAATCCTTACAAACATGACACAGCCATAATGCACTCTTGCTGCAGAAGGGATGATCATGTTCAATGTAGATGTTAGAAAGATAGCTGCTCCAAATACCCTGTGGGGAAAAGTACCATGAAAGGAAATAGAATTATTGTCTATTTTTCAGAAGTGACACTGTTTTCAGTTACAGTTGCAGAGACAATTACACTTACCACCATCTCAACAACCCAAATACTTGTGAATTCCCCTTATTGTCAAAAGGGGATAAATACTCAGATGGTCCATACATTTTCTTCTCTGAATTTTTGTACATGCTCAAACAAAGGTGCTGGACTTTATTTGTATCAAGAGGATTAGATTTGGATGTGGGTACTGGAGGCCTGGAGATACTGTTTATGTGAATCCTGACCTGAGAGAAGTATTGCTAGGAAGCAGCAGGAAGTACTTAAATTCCGTTATAACAAGAGGGTTTAATTTAAATTACGTAAGGTCTGGTTTAAGTGCCTCTGTGAACATGGGAGTGTTCCACTTGCTGCTGCTAGAGTGTGTAACAGGGTTGTTAAGATCAATTCCTTTCCAACATCAGTTCTCTAAATAACAGCTACAAATGTCCTTTATGACTATGACATAGAAGGGACATTTCTACAAGACAAATTCTGGGAAAAACGTAATATAAACATTTTGTTACTCTGCTTGAGAAGAGTACTTGCTGCAGCTGGGCATAAGTCACTTGAGGATTTAAATGTACCTGGGCCTCAGCGTCTTTGTGAAATCATTTGCAGCCTCCCAAAGGTCAGCACGTTAGAGAAACAGGCAGCAGAAACCTCTGTGTAACAGTAATGGATGCAAACAGCAGTCCTGAAAGTGCAGGCTACTCAGAGGCCCTAGGGTAGCACTCAAAGCTGTGTCTGCTGCACTCACCAGTCTGTGGGAGCTTTTCCCAACATGGACATGGACTTTCCTGTATTTAACTGGGCAGTGGTGCACACTTTTGCCCAGTGTCAACAATAAACAACAGTGACAGTAGACAGGGAAGACAGCTGGGCTACAAGGCAGTTGTTTCAGTGTGGCACAGATTCTGAGTTTGTCAGGCACTGATGCTACAATGCAAGGGAAGAGTATCCCTGGATTCCCAGCTTGTGCCCAGAAAGGACGTCTGGAAGTTCATTTGAAAACTGAGACTGCTGCATCATGAAAAACATCGTTGGAAACCAAGAAATGGGCTGGGAAAAACCAGCTGGAACCATCCCTGAAATGACTACCATTAGAAGGAATGAGCTGTACTTGCTTGATTAGATTTCACGTATCTTCACATCTGGCTGAGTGAAGCCTCAGGTTTCCTTTCTGTGCAATGAATGGGGTTCATTCAATAGCTGTGTCGTGAATGCTCTGAACATTAGGAGTCCATTACTACAACATCTGTGGAAGTTTATATACATGAGGATCCCCTCTGAGATCCTGTTATAACACTGAAAAATATTGTAACTGGCAGTCAGAGTTCTCCGCAGTTGCCAAGCACCATTTAAATTGAATGGATTACTACTAATCTTCAGTAGTTTACTGTCTTCTTTGTGTTGCCTGCAATTGCAAGCAGCCATGCCTGGATCCCTGTGGACAGCCTTTCTATGGGAGACTTTTCATTCTGCAGCTAGAAAGTTGCAGCAGTTGGTGACCTTGCAGACCACAGCACAAGGACATAGGACATCAACTCAAAGCTGCCCTGCCTTGCTCCAAGACTCAAGGTGACACCCTGGGAATAAAGCAGCCTCTTTTGTTCAGGGCCCCCAATTCCTAGCAACCCTGATGTTAGCTACCAGCATGCCGCTGTTTGTGAACTGTAATTCATGTTTGTTTTTCAAACCACTCAAATTCAGCGACATTTGATAGGCTTTGATTTGTCTTGTTATGTGTGTGGCATTTCAGGAAGACAAGTTAAGCTTCATTGTGATATATGAATCATACTAGACAGATATTTGATCAGAAATCATGTGATTTGGACAACAGCAATATTTATCTCCATTTTGATTTTTTCTGACAAAGACATAAACAGATCTTATTACAGATAGCTGTTTATCATGTTCCACTTCAAACTATTTATAAACTTTTAAAACTTTTTGTTGCGATTCTTCTTTTCTTTTTTTTTTTTTTAATAAGGATTTCAGTTGTTTGCCTTTCAGTCTCTTTTTGAAAACTTATTCACAGGAAATATATGTGACTTCATTTTGTATCTGGTCTTAGTATTTACTGTAGGATTAATGGTAGTATTATAGTGTGAAGAATCTACAGTCAGAGATCAACACTGTTTTCTCTAAATTCTCTACATCTATTGACAAAACCAACTCCTTATCTGAGTGACAAGAAAGCACTAGACAGATGAGCGCAATAGCAAAGAAGCTCAGTAGGCTGACAGAGAGAAGTGACAAGGGAACTGATCTACCTAGAAACCAGTCTGAAAATATGAACTAGAATAAAAAGGCCACAGTCATATCTTGACATTTAGAAGACTGCTTTCAAAGCCAAGTAAACATTTAACTGAGAAATAAGTATTATTCATCTATTATGATCAGTGAAGAAAATACTTTTGCACCTTGCTTTCTTACCACTAATAGAAATATCAGGTCTATTATCATAATGCTATTGACTCATGGAACTACAACAAATCATGTAAATTAATACACAAATGAAAGAATAAACTGTGAGAAATAGAATGTGTTAGATTATCCAAACAGGTAGCTCTGAAGATGGAGGGTCCAATCTCTGCTACTTCTTTTAACATCAGCTCTTAATGTACCTGGAGTATAAATGCATCATTTATACTGAGTTAGAACCAGTCACTCTTTACTGCTATCTAAAAGGCTGAGTATTTTTTCCACAAAAAGGCAGCATCTTTTCAGCAGTTCACCACCATTTATCCCAAAGAAGTTGGTCTCCACCTTTACTAAAAATATTCCAGTTTCTTTTCAATTCATTCACATATTCTTCTCACTACCATGATCCTCACGCAGCTGCCCCTTTGGGATCAAAATGGACTTTTTCAGCAACAGACTCCTCTGCCCAGCAGGGTGCTCTTACTGAACACCGATATCAAGAGGTGCCTTGTGTTTCATGTATACACCAAACAGTGATGAAATTACATTTAGATGCACGTTTGAGGATAAGCAGCAAGTCTAAGGGATTGTGTCACTGAATGGTGCATGAACTTTTTGGTGGAATGCTAACCTACGTCAATTTGGATGAATGTATAGAGCAAATTACATAGTGTTAGATGGTTTTACTGCAAAACCATAAAGCACTCGATATTTTCAGCTGTTCTGAGATCCATTTGAATCCCACATTATTACAGATAATTATGTCCAATAGAGAATTGCCTGGGGTGGAGGCGTCCATGTATGTTCGAGGTTGCACAGTTTAAACAGGTAGCAAAAGAGCCTTTTACGTAAATCTGTAAGGTCAGTAGTAGGATAGAATCTCATTTCCAGAGGTACAGATGATACAAAAGACAGCATTTGTCTTTCTGGGGGTGGTGGGTTCACTGGCCCCAAAACTCCTGGTTTCCTATTCTGTGTCTTAGCAAATAACCCCTCTGAAACAACAATCACTGGTGAATCTACCTAAGCTGAAAATGCTTTATAAGGAATAAAGGAAAAACACGGACTTAGCCAGATCTATGAATCCTATTACTGCAAGAAGAAATTCTCTTCAAACTCATCTTTTGAGCAATTTTTTTCCTCAGCAAGTTCTACTCCTAAATCCAGTTATAACAATCAAATCTGTAATGTAATATTGTAGTGGAGCATTAGATTGAGTTGGAAACATGCACTTAAATAAGTAGTCTGCTGACAGAATACATTGCCTTACAGTGTAAACGTGGTTGATTTTACTGTTTGCAAGTTGTTGGAAATAGCCTGGATGAGGAAGAGGAGTTTAGAAGGTGGAAGGAGACAGCGTCTGGCAACATAGGCCAGACAGCATCAGACAAATAGACTGTGTATATTAGATTGTAAGTTTTCTCCCATAGGAGAAAGCAGACAGTTCCTGATTGGACAGTGTCCAGGGTGGACATCTGCCCTTTCCAATTAAGTGCTTAGTAGTTATATAAAGATTCATGTATCCCCCCTCTTTATGCATGTCAATCCTAAATCCTAACCAATGCCCTGTCCAAGTTTATACATACCTTTCCCCTTTTTCCAGAATCTTCCTTATCTGCCTATAAAAACCTTCCATTTTGTAAAATAAAGTTAGATCAGCTATTAGCACCCAAAGCTGCTGTCTCTGTGCTAATTGTCTCCTGAGCTCGGCCGATATCTAACATCTGGATGAGACAAAATATGATCCTGCCAGGCACCCTAACAAGAACTGCAGCTCAGCAGAAGGACCCCGCTGGTCTGAGTGACCCCGAAATCCCAAACCGTGATAGCAAGTAAATTAAGGAAAGAAAAGCCAAACTAGTAATATGCTGAATTATTCAGCCAACAGTGTGCACATCTGTGTTTTGGAGCCCTTCTGCTGCAAAAGCTGGTGCCAAGACTAGAAAGGCTGGGAAAATGGTTAAGCTTAGCTAATTTGTTTGTCTTATTCAGCAGATGGAAAAATAATCTGCTTAGGCACTGTTACGTGGTAGAGAAATGAATAATTGAGGATGCTGACAGCGTCAAAGAAGCAGTGCAAACTGAACTCTGAGTAACTTCTGGTTATGGATAGAGGGGATTTGGGACTGAACAGTTTGGGCAATTCTATGGGATGACTCTATTCTCAATTAATCTCTGCAAAGGCATATGATAGGAAGAACATCCAGGCGGTCTTGCAACTCCTATAACTCTTTGCAGAATGCAGTGAGCAAAGTACTTTGGGGGATGATTTGGGGCAAAACAACATATAAGTGGTGCTAAAGACCTTTTGCAATTCTGACAGGTTTTGAGCATAATCACATCTTGTTTGCAGACAATTAAATTAGTACCAATCATCTTGGTTTTTTAATCTAAAAATCCCAAATGTCCTGAACATGCACATCTCATGAGCTCATTCACAACCAGCTCTCTTCAGACAACCTCCCTCTCTCTAATGAGAGATCATGTTCCAAGTTCTGAAGACTTTTTGAAGTAAAGCCCAAAACCAAAGTTACTGTTGACAAAATTAGACACTTTTCCCACTCACATTTTCTAAAGTAGTTGAACTAAAAAAAAAAAAATGAAATTAGCTGAAAAACACATTGATAGTAAAAGAAATCTATATAGATGCTCAAAGGTCACCAAACAGAATTCATGAGGCTCTACTACAAGTCCTATGCAATCCTAATTATAGTCAGTACTGGATCCAGCCATGGCCAGGGTATTTGTGTGCACTACGATAAATTTGTGACTTCAGAACATGAATAGCTCTGTAATTCCTTCATGTCTAGCTTCAGTCCACATGAAATTTTTGAAGCAGAAAGGTCAAATTTTGTTGGAAAATTCTTGTTTGGTGTTAAATCAAGATAGAAGGCACCAAAACAATTTCTGAAAGACAAATGCTACAACCACTGAAACACACTAATTCACTGTTCTGCTAATCATCATTTAAACAGAAGTGTAAAACAGTCATCAGGCTCTAAAGCTTAATTCTTTTGCTTATTTTTTTCTTACCTGTTAGCAGCCAGTTTGTTTGCAATGAACCCTCCTGGAATTTGTGTCACAATGTAACCCCAGAAAAAAGAGCCATGAATGAGTCCCACGGTCTCTGGATCCCAGTTGAATTGGGCTGTCTTTAAAGGAAAAGGGGAAAATGCTGTAAAATGAAGCATACACATAGGAAGATAACTATTGTTTAGAAGTCACACAGCGGTCACACCATCCTCCAAATCAAGGCAGCCTCTTTACTCTAGCTGCTTGGGGTTCCTAAGCTTGAAATCCCCAGTTAAGGCAGAAGGATATCTGATTTCCATGTGAGATTTCTGCTTTTTTTTCTTAGCTTTCAGTTAAGTGGATAAGAGGGGTGAAAAGTTTCATCCAGAATGTAGTTAACGCTGGACCTTCATCTTTGCCACTTGCCTCTGCTTCTCCCTGGGCCACTTCATCCTGAAACCTTTGTTTTTGAGCCAGCTCTGAGTTATAAGAAGGACCTGAAGCCTTTCAATGGTACCTCACTAGGTATTATAGTGCCATTCACCCTCCCTGCTTTTGAGATGAAAATAACAGTGACCAAGTGCTGCAAACTGGTAATTCATGTTTTTCACTGTTCTGGCACATGAGCTCTCCAGCTTGTTCTTCTTCACTTCTTTCCCTCTAGTGACCTGCCTTGTGCTCCAACACCTTGTTATCAAGGAGTCACAGAATCTCTCAGCCCTGGGATGACTTGCCTTTCCTGGTGACTCCAGTCACACTCCAATGGCAAATCAGAGCGGGAGACTGAGATTATGACCAACCCTGGTGGTCTTGAGCAATTGTTCTGGTGGACTGATCATATTTGGAATGTAAGTCAGACCATTATCCCTGTGTGTCAGTGATTTATCCAATACCTGTAGTCTGAGAATCAATATGAACTCTTCCTTATTTCTAGCCCGATGTTATGGCTAGATTTCAATCTATTTTCCCAATATTATCAAGGTTGCTTAAGTTCTTTGGGCTCAGCTCCTGGTCAGGCTTATCCATGGCTCTCCCTGTCAGGGCCGGACTCTGACCATCCATAATCAGCACTAAGTGGCATGGGAGCAAGAAGGTGGGGGGTGAAGGGCATAAGACCTGAAGACAAGGAAATCTGAAAATAAAACTAGGTAACACTAGCTAGTGACTAGTTTGTCTTTTATTAAAAGTGATTCCAGTCGTAGGGCTAGATTTGGATGCAAAACACCAGCCATAGGCTGGTTATGTGTGGTTCATAGACAAAAATGCCTGCAGCCAAGAGAAACACTTTCATCATCCTCGTCCTTGAATACTGAGCAGTTTCAGTCTTCTCAAAATAAGGATTCCCCTGTTTTCTGATGACCTTGCTTGACATACCTTGTTCAGAAGAGGGATAGCCAAATCTCAGGGCATAACATAGACAAAGTGAAGAAAAGGAAGGTGGATCCAAGGCCAGAATGCCCACCATTCTGTGAGGTCAGAAAGGGCCTGGTTCAGTATAAACACACTACTGTAAGGTCAGTGTCAACTTTTTCTCAATGAACCCTCAGTTCTGAAGAACTCTTTTCAAGCAATAAAAAAACCCTATGTTTTGCCTCATGATAATTTTCATGCTAATCACACGGCAAGGAAAGGTGGCTAAGCAGGATCTGGGGAAGCAGCACAAATGTCTTTTGGATTCAGGATTAAAATGGTCACAGAGAAATGACAACTATAGAGATAAACCTTAATGTCGCATTTTTTGGTATTACTCCCTGCATGTAAAAAGAACAGGTTTTCCCAGTACATTTTTTTTCCTCCCAAACAAACAAACTGAAAAACAGTTCATTGTTTGACCTGCAGGGAGAAAGACGGCATTAATTAGCAGACAAGTTTACAGAGGGCTAAATGTTTTCCCTCCTCATCAACATGCATTTTGACAAGAGACCCACTTTCCTGTGTTGAGTTACACTTCTGTACAAATACTTAATTTTCTGCTGGTGATTTCCATATGAGTTTCTAGGTAGTGTTAATTTCTGAAGGCAGAAACACCATGGGACATGGAAAAAGTTTCTGATTCAGGAGATGCTCATGCCCAAACAGTGTAAGTTTAGATTTGTGAAAGGAATTTATCCAAATTTCCTGAGACTAACTCTTCTGAGCCTCCCAACCTATGTAGGCACATCCTTCCTCTTGCTTCAAGAAGTCCCAGCAGGGTCACAGGGAGTAGGGATTATACTGAACAAATACATAACAAACCACAAGTCTAAGCAGGAGCTGGTCAGAGGAAATTGCAGTTGAGGAAGAACTAGAATCATAGAACCATGGAATACCAGGTTGGAAGGCAGATCTCAAGGACTGTCCACTTCATTCTTTCTTGGTAAAAGAAATACAGTAATAAATATTGGAGTGTTATGGTAAGGCCTCCCCTATGTCTTCTTTTCTCAAGGTGACCAAACCCAGCCCCCTCAGCCTTTCCTCAGAGGGTAGGCTCTCCAGTCCTTTATTAATCTTCTCTGGATGCTCTCCAGCCTGTCTACATCTCTTTTGTGCAGGAGGGACCAAAACTGAACACAGTATTCCAGCTGGGGCCTGGCAAGTACTGACTAGATAGGGATAACAACTTCTTGATTTCTGCTGGTGATGATCTTGCTGATGCAACCCAGCATCCTACTGGCTTTCATTGCCACAGCAGTACACTGTCCTCTCATATTGGTCTTGTTGTCTACCAGGGCCCCTAGGTCCCTTTCTGCAGAGCTGCTCCCCACTAAGAAATTTTTCATTCACTTTGGTAAATCTTTTGGGGGTTTATTGAGCCTGATTAGAAATACTGCTTGATAGCTAGGAAGGAGAGAGTAAAACACTGTAGGAGTGGTCATGGAATAATGTGGGAAGGGAAAAAAGATTTATTTAAACACCAATCCTAGAATCATAAGCATCATCTCTGACCTTTGCAGATCAGTAGTCCCTATCATCATGAGTAATGGAGACAGACATACTTTTAAATTTGGTAATTTACTGTAGATGCTTTCTGAACTTTTCTTTACCAAAAGCTGAAATATCTGGGAGAAAAGCTGATGAATAATTGCACAGCATTTCATCCAAGAGTCCATATTCCTGTGAATTTGTTAGGACAAAAATATTCATAAGATATCAAAAAGTGAGTCAGCAAGTAGAGCAAATGTAAAGATTCAAGTTCATTAAGAGACTCATGACATCACAGCCATATACCAAGGCAGGACAGCCAAAACTAAGGTATGGATTGAACCTGCAGTTACTTGGGTGCATTGATAAAGGTATGTAAGTATCTACTGTGGACCACATGGCATCTACTGCAAATTTGAAGATAGCTTGGTACCGAGCTCTGAATCACCTCTGGGCAGCAGTCCACACTGTTGCTAAGCCGATGACTTATTGCCAGTGATTGCTTTAAGATCTGGAAAGCTATCCACTCATGTGAAAAGAGTGGGTGCAACCCTACATAGAACAATTAATAATTCCTTCTGTAGCAGCATCAGAGCGTGCTTCCCTGAGAGATAGTAAATAGTAAAAGTTTCTGCCACCACAGCAAAATCTATCTGCAACTGAAAGATGAGGGACCTGGTAGACATGCAAGCCAATTCAGTTCTCCTTTCTGCTACTTACATCCTCTCTATGTTATTGCAAATCCTCAGATTTTACAGATTCGAGACTCAGATTTTTGATATATATATACACACTACTTCGTTATGTGGCACTTTAGTGATTTTGCAGATGGGATCTGCTCAGAAGATGAAAGAAAGGTGCTTTCTCACCTGCAGCTCTGGTTTCCCATTGACATAAACGGTGCTATTGTTCACCATTTCCACAATGGCAACACCCAGGTTGCACCTAATTCCGAAAGAGATGCAAAAGCCCAGACCGCTCATTATGGCGATGATGTAGCGCTTGGGCAGCCCACAGCAATAGCATTCGCACAGCGCTGGCTTGCGGGTGCTCGCCTGCACGGGCCGCCCCTCTTCTGTCAGCTCAATGTGATCCTCCTCTACATTGAGGCCATCGATTTTCCTAAATGGGTGAAGAAAGAGAAATTGAAGATGCCTTATTGTCTCAGTAAAATTTGCTGAAATGTGGATTGGCAGTTACGTGCTCCAGTCACCCGCTAACTCATCCCTTTGTGAGGCGCTTGTCTCTTGGTGGTGTGATGGGTTAGTGCTGGGCAGGCTGTGAAAGGCTACCAGAGACTACACTTCTTCATGAATGACCTCTGAAGTTTGTAAATCTGAGCCATCTAGCCAGACAGCTAGCTGGAAGAGTGTTCATAGGCTATTCATGAGCATACCTACGAGAACTAAATGGATATCTGCTGTGATAAATTCCTCCAGTTCTTAGGCAGGTATACATATGACAACATTAATGACAATTTCTAATTAGATCTATGAAGCACATCTGATAGTAGATTTCAAGAAAAGGGTAAATACAACACAAATAATGGATTTGCTCAGCCCAAAACTCTTTGGAATTTGTTTTCTTCTGTGAGAATAAAATCAACGCTGTCCTGCAGATGAAAAAAGTCTCTGGCATCAGAGGCCCCACTTAAGACGTGGAAGAGACAGGCCCAGACTTTCTCTTCCCAAAGGGATTTGAAGCCACTTGTTCCCCCTTCTCTGAAACATCTCTCTCATGACAAGGACGTAGGCCACTGTACAATGAATCCATGCAACTGCTATTGTTGAACGTATGGCCCTTTGTGTAAAATACTTACTGTTAAACGAGATCTGAAGGAAGACACGGAATTTCTGGGCTGTTGATTCACCATTTCTCAGCAGTCGATGCTGAAAGGGTTTTGTCTGGGATCAAATTTGGTGTGGCAACTGCAGTGCAGCTGGGAGGAACTGGGAGGGAAGGTGCCAGGGCTAGAAGCGCTCCCATTTACTGAGGATAGGAGCAAATGACACCAGCTATACCAGCCTGTGAGAGGTTGCCCACCAGCTACTAACATGGGAGTGCAACTCCTCCAGCTTTGCTTACCCAGCCTTTACTAGTCCTACAAGCAATGTAGCTGAGAGATTCATATTAAAAAAAAATGGTGTTTCCATGGAATTTGAAATTGCATGATAGTGCAATTAAAAATTCATTTGGTCTCCCAGTCTGATGAGGGTTATTAACATCATGTTGCAGGGACTGTGGAAAGTTTCTAGTAGAAAAGGTGAGGTGTGAAAGAACTAAACAGATACCCCCCAGACCAGAGCTAGCTAATTCCTTTCCTAACATTAAATTTCCAAGCATTTGTTTTAAATGCAGGATAAGGGTTTTCTGATATGCTGAAACTCTTAAGGACATGACTGGCCATGAGTACATGACTAACCCACTAAACATTATCCACTATCTTAATATTAAATGTTTACTAAGGGAGACCTTGATCAGTAGCTACATTACAAAGCCTTTCAGTTTTGGCATCACTTTGAAGAAGTGAGCTTGGAATCCAGCTCCTTTTTTGTCTGTCATGAAGTTACATGGCAGTACTGTGAAAATATGAACAGTTAGTTAATCTAAAGAAAGCCCAGCTTCCCAAATAAGATGAGGAAATTATTTGATTCCCTCTTTTCTGATAAGGAATAACTTATTTCTTTCTTTCACATATCTGGCTGAGTGCATTTTAAATCTAAGGCACTTTGGCTTTCCATGTAGAAATAGACTATAAAGAAATATTGACAGACCATATATGGATGGGTTACACCTGACTTACCTACACAGTAGCTGGTTCCGTTTTTTGGGTTGGTTTAATCACAGCTTTCTCCAGTTGCTGTAAGTCTAATGTACTACCCATAATCTAATAGTTAGAACTCTGTACTAAAGGGTTTGCAAATAAAGGTGGTAAGTATAGCTTCCTGGGGAGCTTCTTGTGGACTTAAATATATCTTTCCCATATAAAGTTCCACTTAAAAATCTCATCACTTTTAGAGCTAACTGGTGCATCATTTGCTACATTATTCCTTTTTACATATCATAAATCCATTAGTTCAGCATTAGTCTTAGCAAAAAAGAAAACCAGCATATTTCAGGCTGTCAGCTCACATTTTCAAGAAACACTAGAATCCCAGTGTTTGGGGTTAAAAGGGAACTCCCAGAATTATTTGATTTGATCCCTTTCTCAAACCAGTGCTCACTGCAAAGTGATCATTAGCTCATGGTCAGGCTGGAGCAGAGTTTGCATTAATGCAAGGTAACACAGGAAACATGATATTGCTGTGGTGTTATTGAGAGTGACTGAGAACTTATGATTCACTGGCAGGGAAAACAGCATTTGTTAGTGAAATGAGAGTGCAGAGAGTAATGCAGTCAGGCACATTAAAAAGGAGACACCATATATTCCACGCTCCCTGTGTTAACATAGGTAGACGTAAACGGAATAAAATACCAAAAATAAAGACCTCCGGAAGTGAAAAGACAATTGAATAATTATTTTTAGAACTGCTGTAATCTCAAAAGTGTGATTAACAAACTGCAAGAAATAAATTAATCTTCCTCTAAAATAATGTAAGATATTGATTGAATAAAATCAAAGCACAATTTTTAAATTTTTGTACCTTTACTGAGCTCTTTTTATAAGAGAGATGTCAGACTTTAATTGGTTCATTATTTTGGGCAGCTGGCAAAATATAGATACATCATGCAGATAAAACATCTGTTCTGAGGTGGATGTTTTCAGCTGGCTGTCAATTCAGATAGGCATGAAAATGTCATTCTGCTCCAAATTCACTGCTAAAAGTGGTAAGCTAAGACTAACACTATAGACCAATATTGTCTCTACAGGAAAATTAATTACTTTGCTATTGTATTTGACTAATTAAGAAAAGTAAATTGAGCACTGATCCATGATACCAAATCTATACAGTATATTTTATACCCCCAAAGATTAATAGTAGGTTTGTTTTGGAGACAACTATTTTGCAACAGCAGTCCAAAAACATAGGCATTAGAGCAGTGCAGACATTCATAGAGCCAGTGTCTGACCTAGCTTTGGTTTTATTTTACTGAACAGGTATGTAATGAAGATATGGCAACTCCATGAAAAGATGAAAAATATATCTTCCAATTGATCCATATATTTTGGTAGTGTCACTGAAAACTTTCACCAGTGATTTAGAAGAATACTGCTTCAGAGCCATTGCTCTCCTATAATTACCTGCCTCATGTATAAGAGCATTGTGCTGCACAGGAAATGTTAGATGTAAGTTTTTCCTTTTTTCATCAAACATACAATACTTGCCAAGGAAGAAGAGCTAAGCTATTTGAAGATATCTGCATCCATGTTCTGTGCCTAAATGTCATAATTATTGTATACAAAATTTCTTTTTTTTTATTAAATGGCTACTCTGGCATATACAGAATTTTGAAAGAATTAAAGAAATTTCAAAAATTCCTGCTAGTAATAAGTAAAATCCCCAGAGCTCATATACATTTGGCAATCTGTATTTATGGGATTTTTAGCATAGGAATTAGTTCTTTCTTCAATTGATAAAGTAAGTAGAATAGAATCATACAACTTAATTTAATTTGATTGAAAACTCATCAATTCTACAAGCAAATGTTAGTATTTGCCATGTATTAAAACAGAATCTAGAATGGATTCAACCAGGTATCGTAGTCTTTCACAGGTAGCTGGAGCACCCTCCTACACAATATTCAAACCTCACACCCACAAATCCAGTAATTATGATGATCCCTGCATAACTTCAGAAACCTATACATTGAATATTGAAAAATATAATTTATTCAAAAGCAGATACTAACTTCTGGGATCTTATTTACTCTTCAAGGATTTTCCCAAGTGATAATTTTCCACATCAAATCCTTTACTCGATGCACTGGTACCAAATCCCAGTACAGACCAGCAAACTCTCTTAACTTACTCAGTGCAGGGGACCTCTCTTGCTGGTTTCTGCATAGTATTTCCATGAATATTGCCATATTTCATGGCATGTCTCAAACATAGAGGGACTGCATCTCCCAGGCTGCAGGGCAGCCTTGCAGTTTCTGCTCAGTGCAATCTCAGTGCACTGAAGGGATGGATGCCCTTTGGGTGCTGCAGCACTTCACATGTGCGTTGTGCCCTTGCTCTAACCCTGTTGTACCAGACGCCTCACACAACTCATAAATCAGCTGAATCTGGACACCCCACACTGTGCTCACAGTGGCCTGGGAGGCACTAAACTATCTCTCTTCTTCTATGCAAAGGGAAAATTTGAGAGTCCAGCACAGTCAGGGAAGTCCTGCCTGATGCAAGAGTGTATCACTCACCTTCAAGTTGCAGCTTTTAGTAATTTAGGCTAACTCACCAAGCAACATCTGCAGCAGCCAGAGTTACACCAGACTTCATACAATGCCATGTGACATGGCCTGTATGACTTCTCACATCAAAAGTGACATTATTTAGTTGTAAACCCACTTAGTCACGTCTCACTTCATCAGTAACTGCACAGTTACCTTTAGCTGGTCCAAGATTCCTGAAATACTTAAGCAGGAAGAACCTGAGAGTTACTTCAGTTCATGACTATTTCTTTGACTGCACTAAGTTCACAGACGGACTGAAGTGTTTGTGCCTGTCAAGAAGCTCTACATGAAAAGCTTTCTTTTCTGGGAAACATAATGTTTACAGAGCCACAGCTCTGATATTCATTCACCACAAGCCTTGGACCCTTTAATTTTTTTTTTTTTTGCTGCCTCACTGTATATACTTAATCAAGACAAAAAAAAATTTTTGCATTGAAAATATTTTATACAAAACACGTAAAACATTTTCTAGAACTTCCGCTAAGACATCGCAAAATGAAACTGCTGCCAAAGGCCTATAAAAAGGATGGCTCTTGAGTCTCCCAGTTCAGTCCCCTCTGCCTCCCTTCCAGGATCCAGATACCGTAAAATCATCTCCTGTGAACAGACTTATATTGCAGCACTCACAAAATAATTTGAGGCTGTTGCACACCTGTGAGGAGGCCAGGGAGCCACTTTATGCTGTTTGTGCTTTAGCAGCTGAGCTCAGCTGTGGACAATTGCTACAGAGCAGCCGGTGTCTGGCAGCTACTCTGGCCAGGTACCACCTTCTGGGTCTGCTCTGCTGTTTGCAAGACAGAGGAAATGTGGCAGAAAGGCATAGACTAGTCATATTTACCAAAACTAAAAAGTATTTTTCTATTCACGTTGGTAGTTTTGACCCCACATGAACACATTGCAGTCAGTGAAATCACACTGCAAGGCCTAATTAAGAATACCCATTAGTATAATTCATCATCTATAAAATGCTAGAAGAGAAACCAAATTCTTTGCTGATTTACACCAAACTAAAGCAAATTGGATTGGATAATGAGCAAAGTCAAGGTTGTTTGCATCTGATACATAAGTACAGGTAATGTTTTTTTTACCACCATGTAAAAACACAAGTGTATACTTTCATTTGTAGACTAAGCTGTAGAGAATAGAGTTCAAGTTAAAAACATGCATGTTTAATTTGTTTACAGAAACCTTCAAATACGGCTGCACATTGCCTTCAAGACTGCTAAAGTTGCAGCAATTATTACTTAGATCTGATTGCAAACATAGTAAAAAAGACTTTATAGTTTGGATTATTTCCTCTGCTGGCTAGTACATCTAAGGAAGGCACCAGGATATGTATATTTAAAACAGAAAATAATTAAGTTAACAAACTGTCTTGTATCTCAAATGGTATTTGATTCAGTAGCAGTATTGCCGAAGCTGGATGCCAGTACTATCAACTGTGTAGGAACCAAAATGATATCCTTGACACATGGCTACAAGAAGAGAGTAATCTGGATAATTTAAAGTGAAATCAGTGTACTGCCACATCACATACTCACTAGATAGAAACCCTACATGGTTTTGGTCAAATTTGGCCAGCAGAGTCCACAGCAAAGAAAATTTATCATTGAGTAAGTGACTCAATCCAATGTTCTTAAAGAAAAACTGATTCCCTGGAATTACTGTAGAGTATTGTAAAATTTAAAAAAGTAAAATGTCAGGCGTCATCTGTAATACTGTAAATGGAAAAAAAGAAAGTTAAGTAGAAACTGTGTAGAACAAAAATACTTTGTTCACATAATCCAGAAATAGAGTAACTGGCAATCTACCAGTTCATATTATGTATCTCTTAAAAGTGTACATTCTTATTCCCTTGTGTATATATTCTGCAGTATGATATATGTAAATTATTACACATTTTCTTGTTATCAGAGACATGTTTATATGTGCCAAGAACTGTATCTTGAATCAAAATAGCATTCCTGTAAGAAGGTAAAGGGGTAGATATGAAAGCAAATACAATTCAGTCACTAGAAACACTTTCAGTAAAAATGTCCCGATCCACACAAAGATTTAAGAAATGCCACTGAACACTCTGGTTCTCATTTATTGCTTACACAAATAAGTGTTGTCAGTGGCCATTACTAAGAGAAATAATATTCAATTTAAATGAGAAATCTCTTTCCCTTTATGAAACTGGTCATTTGTTACATCAGATTTTCATCTATCTAAAAATAAAAATCCTCCATTTCTTGTTTCATAAAACTGTCAGATTAAGATGAAAATCTTTAATCTTTTCTATCTTTTTTTGCTAGCAAACAGCTGCTTCTCCTTTTTCTCTCTCTAGTTTGCTAGTCTCAGTAAACACACACGTACACGTCTCTATTTAATACATTTTCTCTTATTGACTAAGAACAAGAGTTAAAAACACCCCAAACCTGTAATTTAGAAATATTAAGTCAAGATGCCATTCAGGAGTGGCATCATTTGGGAGTGTTAATTCCCATTAAATCATTACTTTTTTCTCATGCATGCTAAACCACAGAATTATTCATATGTAATTATTTTAAAGTTTTTTAATTAAACAGTTTTTCAAGCTCATTGCAATATTACAACACTATTTCATAACTTATTTTCACCTTTTTTTTTGTTTAATATAAATATTCTATGATCTATAGTCATAAGCTGTTTTAACAATGCTCCTTCTACATCTTCTGACTTACAGTAAGGTGTCTCACTCTCTGAACTCAGATATTAATTTTATAACTCTACATTCTGTTTCATGTTTATACATTTTTCTATACTGCATTTTGCTTAATAAATTGAAGCAATGGACTCATCTGGGAATTTTCTGTTGGATTTTACCTTCTCAGATTCCCCAGCGAGTCACTAATGGTGTTCTTCACCTCTTCCTTTCCTGGGTTAAAAAATCTTTCTTTCAGTGAACCGAGCCCTTTGAAAGGCATTTTGTCTTTCTTCTTCAGTAGATCCCTTATGTCAACAAGCATTCACTTCTGCTGTCATATTTCCCGATGCCAGAATCAGGAGCCTCCACAGGTCGCCTTGGTGACCTCTGCAATACCAACCAGTTGCTCAAGAAAGGAGCATGGGAGAAAAAAAAAAAAAAAAAAAATCAAACCAGATCTTCCAAGTCCAGAAGGGCAAAGCTCTGGAGCAAAACCCCCTCAGAAGCACTCAGGGACTCAGTGTGGCACTTGCAGCAGCTCTGCTGTGCATCTGTGTGCGCTCGGTACCTGTACGGGGGCAGCTCGTCTGCGCATTGCAGCTGGGGAGCTGGAGGTGCTGCTGAGGGCCAGTGTCCCTGGGCAGGATGAGCTGCCTGCTCCACAGGCGAACCTCAGGCTGGCTGGCTGGGGCTCATCCTCAGTGCATCCCTCCCTCTCTCCTTCCCTCCCTCCCCCGGCTCTTTCATGCCGAGATCCTGTGCAAGGTGGTGCTATAGTAACGGACACAATACCTGTCCTCAAGCCACTCCAGTTCATTAATAAGACCTCATCCATGGCAGGGGCCAGAAGTTTATTAAACATTTATGAGTCCTTTCTGCAGGAAGGGAATTATTGCAAGCTACAGTTCCCATTCACTGTGTACCCCCCACCCAAGGGAGCTCCACTACTCCAATGCACCTGCTGGTTTGAACCCAAACTTGCCTTCCCCAGCCTGGTCATTTATTATTGATGTTGCTAGGCCCTTTGGCAGACAGAGGTGCACTTGGTGCAAAGCTGTTTGAGTAAGATATGGAATTCTGGCTATAATTTAAAACCATTACATTTTTGAAGCACAGCATGGCTCAAAGAGGTGAACCAGTCCAGCTCCATGTGACTTCATGATGACAACACTTCTCCTAGCACGGCAGAAAGTACTTAATGAAAACTTGCATGGAAATGCAGCCTGCCAGTGTGCTCATCATGCCTGCATGTTGGCTGGAGTCAAATGAAGAACTTCTGCTTTTGGCAAGGCCTCAGTTATTGGATTTGGGTTACAGACAAGTAACGAATAATAATAGAAAACAAACAAGAAACAAACCAAAGAAACAAAACCAAAGTAAAATACAAAACAAAAGAAACCAACCAAACAAAAATAAAATCCAAAGCAAAACAAAACATAAACCAAACCAACAAACAAAAAAGCACTGAAAAAACAAACCATTTCATATACTCCTTTTCCTATCAGCCCTTCCCTGTTCTTTGGTTGAAGTGGAAGGCAGAAACCTCATAGGTTGTTAGAAAAAGGGAAAGCTTTGTGTTTGGCATATTACTTTGGCATATTACTTTACTCTCCTAAGACAAGTTAAAATAAGAACCCAGCAGTGCCTCATGAGGCCACCAGCAGGATAAGAGTTGGTTTCCCCTGGAAGTCCCCAGCTGAGAGTTGCCATGTGGAGGGCTGGTGGGCAGGCTGCTGCCCAGCCACAAACCCCAGCTCCTGTTCTGCCTCAGGCCATCTGGTGTCCCTGAGCAAGCTGCCATCGTTCTGGTAATCCTCCTCCTGACCTACACTGTCATTATCCTTACAGGCACAGTGGCCACACTTTCCCCATAACTTCTGTTCAGAGCTTGGTCTATCCAGACTCTACAGACAGAGACAAGAAAAAAAAGAAAGCAAGATTCCTCCACAGAAATAAAGCATATCTGAATTGTTTTCACTTACAAACTCCTCATTTGGATGTTTGAACTGAATGAGTAGGATTGAATGGGATGTAAATATGGGCCAAAGCTGTGCAAGGGCTATACATCCACCACTCCATTCCTCTCCTCTTCTCTTGGCCCTCAATCTCTGGGTTTTAGATGCCTTCATAATACAAATACCAAAGTGTCTGGGTAGCCCCAGCTCCACTTTGAGGAAGCAGATGTTGGAAAATATACTTCCTCATGGTTATGTGAGGCAGGTAAGCAGCTTTCACTGAAATCCTTTATTCCTAGTACAACCCAGGAGCAGAGAAGAGAGGGAAAGGAAAGAAGAGAGAGAGAAGAGAAAACATACTTAGGAGCAGAGAAAGTTTTGCTTGGCTGGAGCAAAACTGGTTCTGTTGTTGCAGAACTGGTTACAGTTTCTTTCTCCTCTTTGAATAATTCATATGACGTAGAGAAGCATCAGAAAACTCCAGGCACTGCACAGCTGTCCTTGCAGACAGTCCTCCCATAGTGAGCAGTGGGAACATGGGACCACCAGCTCCCAGCACCACCTACCCACATGCCTGTAGCAAGCAGAGCTTCTCTGGGTATATTTCTGTCTACTTGGGTGAAACAGCAACTGCTCTCACTGCCAGCTCAAGGACTGCCCAGTGACTCTCCATGCAGCATGTCCTGCTGCCCTGGGAGTAGCTGCAACTCCTGTTCCTCCTCTGCCTCCTCCTCACACTGCTCAAGCTTGAATCTGACCATCTCCAAACGGACCAAAAGGAAGTAAATCCTCCTGATTACTCCCTGGCCTTGGCTTACCTTGGCTCACTGGGACCTGCAAACAGCCAGAGCAGCCAGGTCACCACTATGGAAAAGTCTGACACAATCCATTAAAACAGTGTCTCCAATTTCCACAAGGCACACAGAAAATGAACCCTAGCAGGTCAACTGCCAGACATCAGAGGTACGTATGGTTTTAGGGATATATACATGTCAAAAATAATAAATAATCAAATTGTCTTGCATTTAAACAAACATTAATCTGCTAGCATTTGAGAGAGTTTCCTGAATGTTCTTATGGTAGCTGAACACCCAAAACCATGTAAGAACCCAGCTCTGAACTGAAAATGGTGCAAAGCCCAGTGCAAGGAATTCGCTTTGGAAGACTGGAGCTCAGCTTGGAAAGTAGTGTTCAAAATCCATACCTCCCAGCAGCTGTGGATCAGAGGGTTTTAGCTTGCCCTTCTTTCTGGTGTTCTGATCCTGCTTCAGATAGAGAGAGCACAGAGCAGACATGAGAAAGAAAATATGCTTAAAATTCAGGGCTTTATTCATTTATCCACTCTAATTACATGGATATCTGAAGTCTGTCCTTCATGCGTTTGGGACTGGTTCAAGTAGCTTCCTCAGAGCATATCTTGGCTGGTCCCTGGCAAGGTATGTTCCCTTTGTGCATGTAGGAATCTCTGATTAGCAATGCTACCTGCCTCACCATTAACAGAATTACACATTTCTCACAGTAGTTTCATTTCTCCCTCCTCTTTACGCTTTGTAATTCTTCACTGCCTGCACTTCTGCAGTGCTGCAGTAGTATCCCCTTTCCAAATTCACATATCCTTTCCCTAAGGCTTAAGAAAGGGTGTTACTCACTCTTGCTTCTCTTGCAGGGAGGCAGCTCCATAGGAGCAGTGTTGCTTCTGTGTTTCCTCCTCCTCAGGTTCACAGACTAGTAAGCTGCCCAGATTCCAAGCTGCAGAGAGTGTCACAGCAGCTTTGCAGTACCTTGGTCCTGCTGGGGCACCATCCCCAGGACACCATCCTATTCCCAACAATAATGCACTGGAGGAGGCCATGGCAATCCCTATGTGACTAATCCCAGCGCTCATTTTGGAGCATCAGTTGAGGAAATCTTTCTTCCTTAACAAGACCTAACATGATAGTCCTTATGGATCCAGCTGCCATTGTTACTACTTTTTTCTTTCCTGTTTTAAACCTATGCCTTAACTTTCTTTTCAGAAATTATACCCCATTGTGATTCTCCTTCTGCTATCTCAGACCTTCTTAAAACACAGTGTATTATATCATTTCAAGTCTGCTGCTTGCAAGCTGGAGTCTAAGTTCAAGACACTGCATTTGCCTGCACTTGCAAAGAAATATTTTGCAAAATTAAAACTATATGGCTCCCATAACTTGCACCCACTGCTGAAACTCATACAGACTCATATCACCAAAGAACCCTAGTAAGGCTGTATTAAAAATTTGGTTTAATACCAATACAGACCTAAAAGCAGCATGCTGACAGCCACTGCTGTGGGCTTATATACTATCATTACCTCAGGATAATTTTCAGAACAAAATGAGTTTTAAGAAAACTTGAAAACTGGTCAAGTGCACATTTAGGAGATGCACCCTAAAAATAGCTATGCCTTGCAGACACCAGGCTTGATTCAGGGTTGCAGCAACCCCTTAAGAAAACCAAGCATGCAAATATCAGAGTTAGCAATAAACATAACTCTTACCTGGAAGAGTAGATTCTACAGGTAAAAGTACACTTAGAGGCTATCAAATTTTTTTGTTATTTCTTCTGTTGAAAGGCCTCAAAAAATCATCTTTATGCTACTCCTACCAATGATTCCTCAAAATAATGGTTGAGGTAAAGTCTGCCACATTTTAAGAGACTTTTGCTACTGATTTCAGTGCAGACTGGATAGCACACACGTTTCATATGCAGGTGTTACTCAGGCAAGTGTGCTTCTCATAACTGTGATTCCTGATACAGCCTTGCAAGCAGCCACTTTTCCCAATGCTTCTAAAACATAAAATTTTTAACTCTTTACAAATATTTAGTTACCATAGTAATTGACACCCTGACACTAACATCCTGGGAATGTAAATTTAACCTTTTGGTGTCTCTACTGAATTAACATAAAGATGCTTGACTTCATGCTGTTTGATCAACCCTAACTGTAACCAAAGGCTGCTGGGGTCCTCCAGTGGAGACACACACAAGTGCAAAGGCTTGTCACAGCCTGGGCAGCCAAGGTCAGACTAGAATAACCTTGTTAATTTTTAATCAGTTTCTTTTCAGTCCAAGGCCATTTGATCATATCCCTGGTGCTTGTGGGCTGCTTGTTGGATCACAGTTTGCTCTTGTTATTTGGAGGAACCTTCCTTTGGTAAAGTGAGATGAGTTTGTCTTTTTAGCTCTTACCAAGAGCTCAAAGGCTAGAAAATCCTGGGTGATCTGTCTTCCTAACTGAAGATTTCTTAAAATTTCAATGCTTCAAAATTAAGTTTCTTTGGAAGTTTTAAATACCTCCTTTTCTTCCAAATGGAGCAAAGTAATGAGGCAGAAGTGGCGAATG